AAAAAAAAAAAAAAACCTCCATCTTAATTTATTTAGATGTCTTATTTTAGTTTCAAATTAATTTCTATACATCCATCTCTAGATGAAATTTTGCAATTCATTTTGTGTGTGTGTGTGTGTGCATATTCTTAATTTTTGATTTTTATTTTTTTACTTTTTTCAATTCAGTGTAACTTTTTATCATCAAGTTTTAAACAAACTTGAATAGCTACAAACATGATGTAATCATTAATTAATTAATTCATGTTAAAATGTGTAATTACAATTGAGTTAATATTATTGATAACTAGCAACAATAGGGATGATTGTGATGCAATCCGACGGCTAAAATTGGGTCGTGAGATTGGAGGATCTAATTGGAGATATCATCAAAAGCTTATCACAAATGTACTCATTTGCTCCTTAGATTTGAATTTTGGTACAAATTTATATAGTTATGTTATATAAAAAAGGTGACTACTTGTTGGTACATATATTCAATTTGGGGTCTCCAAATTTCTGTAATTGTATTTCTAATCTCTAGAAGTTGACAGTTTGTGGGACCTTGTGGCCACAACTCTATAGTCTATAGACTCTATACACTTGTTTTTATGCCCATTTTTAGAAGTTTGTTTATTATCCATTTTCTTCTGGGAAATTACCTATTGCTTACACATTGCTTTTGCTTTGACTCCTTTTTTCTCTGCCTCTGACTTCCGAGATTACCCTTCACAATTCATCAATTTCAAGGAAAACAAATTTCCACCCTCTAGACAATTCCATCCTAGGGTTTAGTAGTGTTAATTAAACGAGTCTGCCTCGACTCGGCTTAAGCTCGGCTCGTTAAAACTCGAGTTCGAGGCCTTAACATGTCGAACTCGAGCTCATTTGGTAACGAGCTGGGCTCGACTCGACTCGCTACGGCTCGAAAAGAGTATTTTTATATAATTTTTTATAGTTCTGCTCGTTAAAGCTCGAGACTCGAACACCTTAAGCTCGAGCTCGACTCTGTTCAGCTCATTTACAGCGGTACTAGGGTCTCAACTCTCAACTCAGAATCGTTAGATCAAAAACATATATCAGAGTGTATGTAATATTCGACGGTCCACATTGGCCATTATGTCAGAAATTTTTGAATTTATTGTTGTGTACCGTCAGATGAAACACACAAACCTTGTTCCAATAGGATGAAATTTACATTCCGGCCCTTGAAATTAATATATTTACAAATTACGACAATTAATGAATTCACTATTTTGGAATGGTTGGTTGGTAGATATGTGTGTTTGCCCTTATTTTGTACAAGGAATTTAGTCAAGCCTCAATGGTCATTCCCTAGCTTTTAATTTTTTGATTCAGTTAGATTGATCAGCTATTCTGATTATTGATATTATTTTTCAAAATAAAAGAGATATTTATTACCACAAAAGCTACAAGTATGAAAATATAATTCGAACAAGAATTATGGCCACTTCTTAATTATGTAATTAATTTAGTTATGTAATATACTACTAGTATATACTCATTTGATATTTATTTAAATTAATATTTTTTTCCATTTATTTTTCGAGACAGGTGCGAAGATATCTGTACCAAGACGTCATTAGATTGGACGATCTCGAAAAGTTCATTGATTGTTCATTTATTCAGGTATTAGCTGTAGATATTATAGATAATTATTATTTGACAGACTAATTAACTACTCAATAATATCAATGTTTAGAAATAAAATATACTGTATCATATGACCTTTTTTTGGGACGTCTCAATTTGTCAATTTTTGTGAATAAAATAAGGTATTCTTATTATAAAAATATAAAATAATTGATAGTTGAGTATGGTAAGAAGATATGTAGGTCATATATAATAATGTAGTGTAGTATGATATAATAATGAATATTATTGCAAATTTGTTTGTTTGTTGTTATATATATGTTGGCAGGCCTACACAATAAATGGTGCCAAAGTGATATTCCTGAATGAGAGAGCACATTCTAGAGGCCCTTGCAAAGGCTCTTCCACTGCCAATCCTTGCTCCACTTGTCACAGACTTCTTCAGAACTCTTTTCATTTCTGCTCCCTCTCTTGCAAGGTCATCCACACTTTAATTATTAAATAATTGCCCATTATAAATTTTCGAGACGAATTATAAAAAATTACAATTTCAAGCTTTATTTAGTCTAGGCGAGCCGAGTGGAGCGGGACTTGTTTAATTTAACAGCACTAATTTAATACAAATGCATGCAGGTGTATCACATGTTATATCAAGGGGAAGAGCTGTCGAGCATTACGTGGAGATTTGAATCCGACTTCTCCATCTCTCAATTGGACGACCTCCGAGCTGACGTATCATCTGACGATGCCCCAAATTCCATTTTGGAGGACCCACTTGAATACGGAGGGTCCAATTTCGAAACGGGTAGCTCGGGATCCCGAACAGTTCAAAGGAATTCGAATAATAGAAGGAGATTTATGATGTCCTTAAGCAACAGAAGAAAAAGTACTCCTCAAAGGTCTCCACTTTCTTAATTGATTGCATCATCAACTATTTTCCACATTAATTAGTAAATAGTCATTTAGCAAAGTCTGTACTTTAATTAATTAATTTCTTCTAATGGCGTTATATGAACACCTGATATGAAATACTATGGTGACAGGGAGTTTGTAGCAGGGAAATGCAACTATTTCTATTACAAGCTCTCTTACCACCAATTTTGTTCCGTTGACTGGAAATTTGACCCACCATATATAAATGTAATTTAATTTAAATATTATTTTAATATAAACTCAAAATATCACAAACAATTAATCAAACAAAAAAAAAAATTATATTTAAGAATCTCCTAAATCTTACCAGGGATTATTATTATAATTGATAATGATTAAGCTAATTCATACAAAAAAATTAGTTTTTTTTAAGATATAATCATTTATTTATATTTCTTTTTCTTTTTTTTTTTTAAAAAATAATAACATAATAGAGAGCGAGAGGAAAAGAAAAAGTGGACATGTATGTAAATTCACATATGTCAGTCAGACTGTGTGGGGATTAGGACCGCAATGGATTTTTTCTTTTTAGGTATTCCGAGTCATGTCCCAACTATTTCGTTGGTCGATTCGAGTCGTACACCTGTCAGTGGTGAGTGAGTCTCCTAATAAGAATTTTCTGCATTCACAAGTACTTGAATTCGAGATTTTGCTTAAGCGACATCAATCTGTTTAACACTTGAGCCAATTCGTGGTGGAAGTTCAAATTCAATTATATGAATTGATTGGGGAGAGGTTCACATGGTGATGGTGGTGGTGGATTGGCGGGGCCCACTTTCCTCCATTTCCCGCAGAAAAAACACCCCATTACAGGGAAGCTCCACGCGGCAATACCCCCAAACATAAATTTCCATAAAGTTTAATTCGCAAAGGACCAACCATGACTATCCTACAATTTAATATATTATGTATTTTTTTGAAACTAAAATAATATATCTTGACAAATAAAATTTTATCTTTATGTATATTTGAAATTAAAATATTAAATCTTGAAATTTATGATATTTCTTAATGAAAGTATGCTATGTATTGACGGATCGACACACGGAAAATGGTGATCGTATAATGTTTTACAATTTAACCGTTATTAATCGTTAACGGTAGATGAAAGAAAATGAATATCTAAAAACAAACCATATATCATTGACGTTTCACAAGTGTAAATTATTAAATGAGCTTCATTATTCAGTTCGTACTCGGCTCGTATAATTTCTCAATCAGGGCTTTGGACCAAATGAATCTAGAGAGATAGCTAGAGCATAATTCAACTCAGACTTGTTCGTGTCCCCTTATTTATAATCCCTTTCATGGTATATGTGAGCATAACTTAAAAAAAATCTCAGCTAGATATGCACATAATGGTGGCCGTTACATGTCATTACCTCATCAAACTTGTTGTCTTGAGAAAGGTCTTCTTCTACTATAACTATCTCCAAACAAAATCAAACTTCATATATGGTAAAGTCATAATCTGTATAGCCATAAACGATAATATTTCTCATAATAGAAAAACAAAAGAATGCAACGATTGTTTCGTGTTCAAATGTGAAGGACGAACGACGACGAAATATGGATCGAACATCTTTAATCGACAAAGCTCAAAACCCCCTTCCAGTGGAGTAGTTACAATGTTTGGGTCCGATTGAGGAAAAAATAAAATAAATAAATCAAAAAACAGCAGGCAAAAAAACACAAAATACAGCTATGTGATTGGGAGAAAATCAAAACTCGACTCATTAATTTTTTTTATTTTTTTTTTCTGAGAAGCAATGTTTTGTATGTATACACAAGATATGTGTTGTCACACTCATGGAAAATTCAGGAAAAAAAAATAATAATAGTAATAGTCATGTTTTTATTTATTTATTTTTATTTTATTGACAAAAAAATCATTTGACCGATTTAGGAACTTTGGCATGTGGTCAAAGAAATTAAAAAGGCCAGTTGTATAATGGGGGAGGTGAAGACTGAAGAGTAGGACCCGAATTGTACGGTAAACTTATCTTTGTTTGTGTAAACAATTATTGGTTCCTATGGTCTAGTTACGCAATCATTCCGTCACCGTTTGTAACCGTTAGATCAACTATCTCTATTTGACGGTTACATGATAATCTATCGGTTACAAATCTCGACGGAATAGTTTCATAACGGGATTTGACCACACCTTGTATCTTCTGAGAGCAATGATTTTTTTTTTTTTTTTTTTTACCGTTGGATTATCAACATTTAATCACATACCAACAAGGATATGATATGTGCGGATCTAATGATAAAAATATTCGATAATATATTGGTAGAGTGCGGTATTTATCAACACCCTTTATAATATTGAAGTTGCTGGTGGAGAGGAGTGATAAAAGAGGAGAGATGTAGCACATGAAAGGGGTTGATGGTAACGTAACTGGAGATATAGTAAGTAAGTAGGCCGGCCGTACACAAGATTTTGTTAGCATAACCAATGATTGAAAGAAATGTTTGCCTGAGCTAATAAACATTTATATATATATGTAGAGAGTAGATCAATTGATGGTCCAAAGAAGCTATAGAGCTATGGCTAAAGGAGTGAGTGAGTCCCATCTCATCTCATATTGATGAGATAATTTGGGACCACATGCAATGCATGAACCAGCTGCAGCATTTATCAACAAGATCTCTCCACAGATATGAAACACATGTTATTATAAAAGCTAAAAAAAAATAAAAAATATGTGTTATTATTTATATTTACATAAATTTATTCAATAACTTCATAAGTTGCCTTATAAATAAAAAAAAATGTTATAAGTACATAATATTGTACATATATGTGTACATAACATTCACATTGAGTGAGATCTACTAAAAAAAAAATCAAGTGAACCTCACTTCATGTCAAGTGGTCTACTCAAAGTAATAATACATTTCTCATAAAATTTGTGTTTATCAGTGAGCTTCGTCGAATATTCTATTTATCGTGGAATTAACATGCACTTATAGTGGATGCTTAAGTACAAAAATTTTCAAAAAAAAATCAAACATTTTTAACTCAACTATATTTATTTTTTGAATTCAACTGTAACTCAACTCACAGTCATCAATATTGTCAATAGGATTAAATAATATCAATCAATCATTCTTACACACCACATCAACTTTAATTCACTCACCACATAATTTTTACTAATCATCACTTCATCTCATATCTTCTTTACTTTTACATTAAATCGACCTTAATTATTTTAATAAATGATCATATCACATCTTTTTTTTTTTTAAATAACCAAATCAAATAAAAAAAAAAACCAAATAACACTAAAAATTCTTATATCAAGCATCCACTAGACATCTATTAAACATCAAAAGGGCTTATTCATTGTAGTTTAGGGCTGAGCATGGAACTCGAAATATTTTAAACCGTTTTGAAAACTGAACCGAAATCATTCTGAACCGAAATTGTTGACTGTTTGACTTTCTCCTAACTAAACAAAACTGAAAAAATAATTGATACGGTTCTGGAGATTTCACAAATATTTGTACCGAGAATCGAACTGAACCGTCTCATACCGTACCGAAACGAATAACCAAAATTAAGAACCGAATTATAACATTAGATGTGTTATTAATATATTTTTTGTAAACTTTGATCCTATATAATACAGTAATAATTATTAACTTTCACTTAAATTTTATTCTTAATAATACTTGATCTACAATTGAATTTTTCTATTATAGAATAATTATTTAAAATAAGTGAAAGGTTAAAGAATATTTTTTTAAGAAAAAAATATTATATTTTGTTTGAATTTTAAATTTTCAATATTAGTTGTACAAATTTAGTCTTAACTAAAATTTAGAGTTATTTCTAAAGCTGATTTCAAATTAAAATATTTAATATGAGAAAGTATCGATAAAAATTAAATAACTAAAATTTTGATTTACTTCTAAAATTGATTTCAAAATAAAAATTTCAATATGATGAATTATTGATGAATGTTGTTTTTATAAGCATATAAAAATTAAAATATAACCAACTAGTCATTAAAAAAAAAATATCCGAACATCCGAATTAAACCATACTGAATCAAACTGTCTCAATCTCAAATACCGAGCAGAACCGAACCAAAAAATAAAAGAGATCAAATTTTGGGACCTCCAAATTTTGGTCCGGTTCTAGAAATATATCAATCTCCGAACCGTATTGACTCACATTCACCCTAATGTAAGGTCAAAATCTACCATTATTACTACTAACTAGACACTTGAGTACCCTTATGATAGTTGAAATATAAAATGTTTAAATGCAAGTTGGAGTGGCCATTTGGTGCCGTTGTTCAATTAATATGATGTAATTTGGCGGCTTAATGGTTGTGCAGTTTTCTTACACCTTTCTGCCCAAACTTTAGCCTCTTCTGTCATGTCATGTCAAATCACCCATAATCCCCATTCCATCATAATTTTCTTCGCAATTTTACTTGGTTTTGGGCTCATGTGTGAATAATACAGAAAAACAGTTGCTGAGATTTAATGATTTATACACATTAAGGATGTGTTTGTATATGAAAAATCTCGTTCGATTATCAATTCATACTTAAAATCTAACTCAATTTTAACTCAACTTTATTATCCTTAATATCCTCACTATATATTAATTCAGAATATGTTGAGTCTAAGTAGCAAACTCGCATGCTTCGAGATCCTAGGTGGCAAAATTATATGTTTCGTTATTAGGTTTGAGTATATTTTAATTTACTTCCAAACCAAAAATAATTAGATCCAAATTATCTATAAATATGTTGATTATTTATGGTCATGTTACATGTATTAATTGAATTATAATATTATTTTTTATTATAATCCTTGAATTGTAAATGTATTTTAAAGTTAATAACTTTTATATTTTTTTATCAGTTTTACACATATAATATACCAAATTAATCATCTCTTGATTATCTTCAATTTAACATCCATATTGTATGTATAAAAAAATAAATTATATTTATCTT